GGCGGGCGGGGGGGGGGGCATCCTGTGCTGGGGAATCCCTTCCGCGCCGGGGGCTGCGCCGAGCCGCGCTGACGCTGACAGGTTGTGCGATGCCTTTGCAGATAAAGCCACGAGTCAGCTGCTGCTGGAGACGGACTGGGAGTCCATCCTGCAGATCTGCGACATGATTCGTCAGGGCGACACGCAGTGAGTGCCCTTGGCTGCCCTCATCCCCAGCACGTAGGCGGGCCGCGTCCCGCCTCGGCTTTTACGCTGCCCTAAAAGCGTGGTTCAGGAGACGCTGTGGCATCGCTCCGTGTCTTGGAGGAATTCCCCTGCGCGGAGCAGCAGCTGCGCTTTGTCTGGAGGCCTGGGAGGAATTCCTCCTCCCCCTCCCCAGCGTGGCTCGGTGGGGGTAGCTTGGCTGCTGTGTTTTGCAGGGTGGGGGTTACTGGGCAGATGTGGGCCCTCCCCTGCCTGAGAACAAGTCCCCTCTCTCTCTCTTCCAGGGCTAAATACGCAGTCAGTGCCATCAAGAAGAAGGTCAATGACAAGAATCCACACGTGGCCCTGTATGCGCTGGAGGTAACCTGAACACACGCGACCCTGCAAACCGGCATCTCTCCAGGGCTCAGGCAGCGTGTGTAGCCCAGGGCACGAGCCAGGGAGGCTCAGCTCTCCGGCTCTCATTCTCCTGGGAATTGTAGGCTGCGCAAACCGTCCCCTGTCAACCCCAGTGCCCCCGCAGTGCAGCAGGCGGCCGTACAGAGTTCACGCTCACTTTCTGGTTCAGAGGTCCTGCAGCCGCGACACGTGGCCTGCTGACTGCCCGTGGGATGCCGGCTGGGGCTCTGCTCCTGGCTGCCGTGCTGAACTAAAGATGCTTGTTAATTCACCTTCAGGGCAGAGCAGGGCATTTACCTCAGGGTCTCTGGGATCCTAAAGGGCAGGGGGGCAAAGGCCTCTACAAATTTATGGGGTGTTTCCCCAGGGAGAGCAGAGAGCCCTGGCTCAGGTGCTGCTGCAGCTCTTGGCAGTAGCCAATGCACCATCGAGGTGAGGCGGCACTAAGCACAGTGGAGTAGACGGGTGCTCCTGGCATCTGTGCTGGCTGGGCTGCTCCTCAGCCAGGCTGAGAGTTCGGTGCTGCTCTGCTCTGCTCAGTCTGGGGTGCGGGAAGGAACCTGATCTCTCCTCCTCCCCTGCAGGTCATGGAGTCTGTGGTTAAGAACTGTGGCCAGACAGTCCACGATGAGGTGGCCAATAAACAGACCATGGAGGAACTGAAGGAAATTCTCAAGGTAGCCTTGGTCATTTGCCTTGCCCTGGAGGCGGCTGGGGGGACACACACTGAGAGGGCAAATGGTGGAGGAGGGGGGCATGTAGATGTCCTGCATGGAAACATACAGGAAACAGAGCGGTCCAAGCTGCACGGCTGGTGTCTGCGTGAGTGGGGGCCTCTTAGACAGACAGATCCAAGTGTCACTGGCAGCTCAGGTGCACGTCAGGAGGCAGAGCTGATGTCAGGCTGCACTGAGCGGGGGCAAAGGAGACTCCTGTAGCAGAGTGGGCCGGTTGAAGGCAGGTTGGTGTCCTGGATGCTGGTCAGGCTTGGCTAGAGTCAGCAGCAGAATGGAAATAACACTTCCTCATGCTGCAGGAGCAGGTAGCTCTGTGTAGGTAGCCAAGGCCATAAACCTGCTTCTGTTTGGCCAGAGCCCTAGTGGGATGGACCTGGGCCCCATGGGATGCTGATCCAGAGCAGTCGCTGCCTCTGGTGCCTGAATGCAGATGCAGACATGCACAGGAGTGAGGGCACTGGGGGATTGAGCTCCCTGACTAGGAACCAGCTCCAGACTCCCTGGGTCTGTGCTCTGGGGGGGGTCTGTGGGTGGCTTTGACAGCTTTCCCCATACCCAAGGTTGTTCTTACTTGTATGCAGGGGCTCCCCCTCCTGAACCCCAGACTGCTTTCATGGGGCCCCAGGATGTGCCAGCCTCTTGGTGGGGCTGGCATTTGGATGCCCAAGTTGGGAGTCACAGGCCCAACCCTGCACTAAGAGCCTGGACTTTTGTTCTAATGCAGCTTGGACAGGCTTGGAGGTGGCTGCTCTGCTTCTTGGGAGTGGCCTGTCAGGTGCTTTGATGATGACAGGATCAGCTGATAGTCAGGCCTCTTGGAGGCTGGCTCTGGCTGACATGGTCCCTGCCAAGCCGCCTGTAGCTCTTTGAACTTCAGCTCGGGG